AGTACTGCGTAACTCGCAGGGTGTCGCTCTTTGTTTACGGAGGTGCGGTCTTTATTCCTCTTTTTCCCGTTTGTGATGTTGTTATCCCCCTCTTTTAGTGCCCATTCTGGGTAGCCACAATGACGCAGTGCGTCCCTCACTTTTTCCTTCTCTGCAGCTCTGAGGGTGTGGTCTTCTATCAGTGTGTTCGCCCTATGCATGAGTGTTCTCACTATGCCCAGTTTTTGGTGCACAGGATGGTTGGAGGACCAAAGTAGATAGTGGTCTGTGTGAGTCTCTTTGCGAAACACATCTGTGGTGATGGAATTATCCGGTTTGCGAATCATCATTACGTCCAACATAGGGAGGCGACCGTCCTTTTCCCTCTCGATGGTAAACTTAATGCTGTCATGTTGGTTATTAATGTGTTCCAAGAGTTCTTGTTCGTGTTCCCGTTGGTTCACTACCCCGGTATCATCTACATATCTACCCCAGAACTTAGGGCGATGTGGGGCAGTGTCCAAGGCTTTACGTTCAAAGTCCTCCATGAACAAGTTTGCTTGTGAAAGGTGTACAGTCGACACCGAAAATTTGGAGGTACGTGTTTTTACCTTTAAATACAGTCACTGATTGAAGAATTTCTACTAACTGTTAATTCTACGTGACTGATGAACCTCTTCAACAAAATTATGAATGTAGGAGGAAGTCTTGTTACCTGGTTCTGAGCTACTCTCAGGTGTACTGCCCTGTTTCTTCTGTTTTCTCCGCTTCCTTTTGCTCGGCTTTTTCAGCTTCTCGGCACTGTTACTTCCGCTGCTCTGCTTTTTGGTCCCCCTCATGGACCCCGAGCTCGACCTGGTGTCCATTCTGAAGCTCAGAGCGCGAAAGAGAAGCGGCAGAGACTTAATTAAAATTTGACGAGGCTTTACGAACTTCGGAAGGCGCCATAGTTCACAGAACCGCAGCACACTTCTCCGTTCAACAGGTGTATCGCAGCGCCGAAAAATAATCCCTGGGGAAAACTGTGCAAAAGTTTACGACTTTGGTCAAAAAATCTTTTTAAATAGCTGCTTTACAATTTTAATGTTTCTAGTATCCATAATATTCAGTGAATTGATAAATTATGTTGATATTTATGGAGAAGCGGAAGGATAATTTAGGCTACTTTTTTACGAGTCGTCCGTCACTATGAACGCCAGTTTTGTTTGTAGCCGTCTCCATTTCCCTCCCACGGGAGGGGGGATCGATTACACGGATTGAGTTACACAATAGCATGATCTATAAATAGAACTGCAGAAAATATATGTCGTTCAATCTATATTGATTATGGTATAATTTTAGGGCCAAAAAGTCATTGTATATGAATAGTTTGGGCCCAAACAATGTATAGTAAAAGTAAACTTTGTTTCCCCCTATATGGGAACAATGGAATATTCCTGACCTATCCCAGAGTTCCGCGGGATTTTGAAAATGGCGGCAACAGGGCAAAAAGTCACCGTTTCACCAAAAAAGAGTAATTCAGACGGATAGAAAAGTCCCTGAGTCATAACCGATGCAAGGTGAGGTGCATAAGATCAGCAATTTACTTATAACCTTATTTATTTTATTATTGATATGTATCACGCCTAACATTTGATCATTTTATACGACGTTACACAGTCACTGTTTGCCCCCCTCCCCATGTAGCTGAGGACGTCTGTGACTCTAAATCTTGCCTGAGATTTCTGAACAAATTTTTGTGATATCTTGAATCCCAACCTGTCCTTATCGTTTGTGCAAGTATCTCTTGTACTTATTGTAGGTTCATATGACTCCTGCAGACCTTGAGTTATTTTGTTGCTAATTCTACTACACTGTAGTACGGTTTACATTTTATATAAGTTATAAGCAAGTTTCTCAAGCAACTGGATATGATTTTGAAAACGTCAGACGTTTCAGCTAGTATCCACTAGCTTTCGTCAGTGACTGAGAGACCAGAGGGGAAAGCAGGTTTATATACCTGTTGATATGCAAATAAAGTGAAGACAAATTTTGGAAGTCGAAAAATGAACAAAAGTCAGACAAGTCAAGACAAGATGATGCAAATTAGTCTGAAAGCTCCTGTTATACAGGACAGGAGCTTAAGTGTTGTCTGTCCTCGGGGCTGGGAGTGCCAAATCCCAAGTGCCGGAAAGATCGACCCGTAGCCCCCCTTCCCTGTTGAGGGTGGGGTTGTACATTCTTTCATATATTGCCTCTTTAACACCCCGTTCCCACCAGCGTGTTTCGCGGTCTAAGACATCCGTGGAAGCCTTGGAAGCCGATGATACACTTGCAGATAGAACCAACCTATCCGTTGACCAAGTTTGTGAGCTACTAGAACTCTGCTTAGGATGCACATACTTTACCTACAAAGGACAGTTCTACCAACAAATGCACGGCTGTGCTATGGGATCACCAGTCTCACCAATTGTTGTAAACCTGTACATGGAGAAGTTTGAAAACAAAGCCCTCAGCACTTTCAATGACACTCCCCGGCCAATTGGTTTCGATATGTAGATGACACTTGGTGCAGATTGAAAAAGAGGGTAGCTGCTGACTTCTTTGACCACATCAACCAGATAGATGACAACATCAAGTTCACACAGGAGCCAAGCCATGACAACATGCTCCCTTTCCTAGACACCAAAACTATCGTAGAGGAAGATGGTAACCTCCGTTTCGAAGTGTACAGGAAACCAACCCACACTGATCAGTACCTGGCCTTTGATTCCCACCACCCTTTGGAACACAAACTAGCAGTGATCAAAACCCTCTTCCATCGTGCAGACAACATTGTCACTTCAGACCAAGCCAAAACGGACGAACATAGACACCTGCGAGGTGCCCTGGCTAAATGTGGCTACCAAAACTGGACTTTCAACAAAGCGCTCAAACCTTCAGATCAGTCTAAGAAACCCAAAAGTGCAAACCATTGACCAACAAAAACAAGGCCAACATCACTATTCCGTATGTCCAAGGAGTATCTGAGAAACTCCGACGGATCTTCCAAAACTTCAACATAGCCACTAACTTCAAACCTCACTCAACCCTCAGACAAAGACTGGTACACCCTAAGGACCGACCTCACAAGGGTATCAAGGCGAATGTTATTTACAGACTCAAATGTGAGGAGCCCAATTGTAACAACACCTACATCGGAGAGACAAGTCGACCGCTTAAAGTAAGGTACAAAGAACATTGCCGACCTAGTGCCAACGGCTACTCCTCAGCTATTTTCCACCACCTACAACACAACCAGGTCACTCTTTC